AAAAAAAAAAAAAAAAAAAAAAAAAAAAAAAATGAATAATTTAATGAACGAATTGAAGTGAATGATCGATTGACTGAATGACTGATTGAATATAGAAATAGATAATAAAACAAAATAACAACAACTCAAACAACTGTAACTTCTAAACTGTTTGTATCCCTTAGGAAGCGACCAAATCAGCCAACCACCTTATTAAACTGTCGGTTACAAATGAAATCTTTTAAAACGGTCAACAAACAAACAAACAAACAATCAAACAAACAAACAAACAAACAAACAAACAAACCGGACAACCGGCACCTATTGCGGTAGCTTAACAACTGCCTATTGCTGTTGTACAATGACGACAAAACATCTACGGTAAAAGCTGCTATTGCTGCCGCTGTTGTTGCTGTTGCTGTTACTGTTACTGTTAATGTTAATGTTGTTCGTCGTACACCCACCCACCCACTTGTGTAGAATCTGAAAACAGCAACAACAGTCATCATCGGAACGTTCCAAATTTCTAAATCTGCGAAAAAAAAAAAAACAATGCACATCAACCTTTCTGCCTTGTCTCCCTGTCTTTCTTCATTCCTTCATAGTTTATAGAATTTACTGTATTTTATTTATATAAACCATTATGCTTGTTCTAAAAATGAGCAATAACGTTGTTTATCATAGCCAAATACTTCCGAATAACCAAATATAACAGTTTCAATGAATTAATAACACTAAAATTAGTTACTATTTTACAGCTAAAAAATCGCGTTAGATTCATAAATATCGCTAATATGATGTGCGTGTGTCTGTGTCTGTGTGTGTCTGTGTGTATCTGTGTGAACGTGTGTGAAGACGCTTAAACAGATTTATTTGGGCTTTTTTCTGTGCTTATATGTGTGTGTATATATATATTTAAAAATTAAGTAACTAATCTGCTGTTACTGATATTACAGAAATTTTGAGGTAAGTAAAGAACCGACCTTTTTCAAAAAACTCCAATCAATATTTACCAAAATACGTTTAATTGATTCAAAATTATTGTAATTATAGCAAAAAGAAAAACGATACTCTGTTAGTTGAAAAAGAAATTCTTTCAAAACTTAAGCTGTGTACTAAAAAGCTGAAAAAAGAAGCCAATTCTAATATGCAAAATATTTTATTGTTAAAATAAAAGTTGTAGATGAAATTAGCTGAAGAAATGATGGAAGATAGCTACTGAAGCTTAGAAAGAATCGTTTTGCCTTTAAGAGTGAAAAAAGTTTGAACTGTAATCAACTTATAAAACTAAACATTTAGTTCTATGTTGCCTGATTATTTAAATGAATCTTTACC